TGATCTATGCTCTAGCGCCCTCTAGCGGCGATTCTTTTTTTAAATAAAACAAACGTGACTTTGGGGGCGTCCATAAATGACGTCACGCACCTGGGAGGGGGGGTGTCAGACATTTGTGACGATGTGTGACGAGGGGGGGTTTGAGAAATGTGACGTCACGTCAAAATGCGCAACTTTAAATAAACATATAATTTTTATAACAACACTCATTTTGATTAATTTCATTATTAACTATTTGATTATTTAAATTTACTAAGGTCACCTTTTATTTATTCCATGAAGGAGCATTTTGCTTCTCCATGGGAATATAGAGAAGTATACATTTTGAAAAAAAAATGTAATGATTGTTATTGAACATTTTGATTCTAATGATTCTACCAGGGCTTTTCATTCTGTGGAATGAATATGTGATTGTTATAATTGTACTCTCCATTTTGCTTCGTTCTACTACAAAGTTTCAAGTATTTTTTTATAGTTATAATTACTTTTAATATTTGATAATTATAAGTTAATTTCAATATAATATTCTGAACATCTGCAGTTTTAGTTAGACGTTGAATATTTTCAAGTGAATTTTATGCTAAATTTAAGCTTTCCAACGCCTCCTTTATAATACGTGTTTTCTCCTACAGAGTGCAGCGCCACATTAAATACGCACTACAATGACAATAGTTTAAAGCGATTTGAAGCATGTCTTATTTTCAAAAATGGAAATATCGTTTTGGGGGGGGGCAGAGCTTTGTGACGTCATATTTGATGGGGGGTCTGACTTTTGTGACGCCGTGTGACGAAGGGGGGGGGTGGTAAAAAATCGTCCAAAATCGCTTGACGTCATTTATGGACGGCCCCTTTCTCTTAAAACTAAAATCTAAATATGCATCCTGCAGTAATGCGATTGTATCAATACTTGTCATTACTGTCAAATCTAGATGATTTAAAAGTGCACAACTCCAGGGGCTTCCTCATCTCGGAAGGAAGAGCGCGTTCCAGACGGCCCCAGGAGCGGCGCATCTGAAAGCGCCGCGCCATGAGGCCGGTGACCACCGTCTTTGTTTCGATGGCTGAGCAGCCAAGAGCCGCCGCCGCCGCCGCTGCTGCTGTACGAGGATGAACGCCCCGGAGTTGGCGTGATGATGGTTAATGCTGCGCTGGTACATCCTAGCCTGGAGTTGGCGTGATGATGGTTTATGCTGCGCTGAGCACATCCCAGCCCAGAATTGGCGTGATGATGGTTTATGCTGCGCTGGGCACATCTCACCTCGGAGTTGGCGTGATGATGGTTAATGCTGCGCTGGTACATCCTAGCCTGGAGTTGGCGTGATGATGGTTTATGCTGCGCTGGGCACATCCCAGCCCGGAGTTGGCGTGATGATGGTTTATGCTGCGCTGGGCACATCCCACCTCGGAGTTGGCGTGATGATGGTTTATGCTGCGCTGGTACATCCCAGCCCGGAGTTGGCGTGATGATGGTTTATGCTGCGCTGGGCACATCCCAGCCCGGAGTTGGCGTGATGATGGTTTATGCTGCGCTGGGCACATCCCACCTCGGAGTTGGCGTGATGATGGTTTATGCTGCGCTGGTACATCCCAGCCCGGAGTTGGCGTGATGATGGTTTATGCTGCGCTGGGCACATCCCAGCCCGGAGTTGGCGTGATGATGGTTTATGCTGCGCTGGGCACATCCCACCTCGGAGTTGGCGTGATGATGGTTTATGCTGCGCTGGTACATCCCAGCGACGCCAGCACAGTGGATGGTCCAGTGGCTTCCTCTCTCACCATCGGAAGGGCATTCCACCAGCGGAAGAGTAATACCATTGGACTGGGGAATCCAACATCCTGATGGACTAAACACGTTTGTGTGTATGTGTATATTTACGTGGGGATAACGGAACGGCGTTCATCTTGCGGAGGGTTTATTACCCGGTCTCGGCAGATCGCCCGCACTTTAACTTCTCACTCTTCGATCGCCTTTTGCTCAACTTTCCAACGCCGTACTTCGTACCCCGATCGGAGTTTTGTATTGTTCGTTGTTTGTAACTTTGTCGCCGGGCTCTACTGGACCTCTGTGAAAAAAAGAGCTTCACAGCTCAACGGATTTCTCCAGGAAAAACAAAAAAAAAGGATTCTGATTCGTTGATTCTTTAGCGGTGAGAGGCGAGCGGTGCGTCGCCCCGAGCCCAGCAGTAGGGGGAGCTGCCACGGAATCACGCCGCGCTCCCGGGCCGCGAACGAACCGACGTGGCAAGGGTCATTGGCTAGTCGAGGGACTGACTGGAGACTCCGTGGGTCGGACAGCCACCGAGCGAGTGTCACTTGAAGCCAGATTAACACCGTTTTGTCTCCACGTGGAGATGCAATGCCTTGAACAAGCATATGCTTTACCCCATTTCCGGCAAGGATACAGGAGGTGTTTGTATGTTCAAACCCCAATTAGACACGCGTATCGCAGGGCGCCGTAGTAACCGCCCATCGTGCTTGTGGTAAAGCGTGCAAACCACGTGGTTTGATCACCATTGTCCTTTGAAGCTGATTCCGGTGCGACAACAGAGGACAACGCCAAAAGGCGGACAGCTCAAGGGCAATGCACAAATAGCAAAGCTTGTGAAATCGATTCGTTCAGTCCACCAGCCTGTTGGCTTTCCAGACCAAGTGACAGTCAGCAGCGCAGCTTTGTGTTCAGTTCGTTGTTCTGTTTTGTGTTTAGTTTGTTGTCTTTCTCCGCACCTCCGATCAGCACGGTTGGCTACGTACGGTGCGAAAGAAGTCCAACGTGCACGCTAACAGGGCGAGCCAACTCCGACTCGACGTGAGCGCCGCTCTTCCAACTTTGCCCACAAGGCGGCGGACTTGCCACGCGTGACCAGCCCCCCCAAACAACCCCCCAGGAAGATTCACCTTGGATGACGACAATTCCAGCCCCCCCCCCCCTTTGTCAATCCACTGCTGGATGAAGGCCTCCTTCCTCCAACAACATCGTGTCGGGGGTTCATGGTGGGGGTCGTTTGACCGCTGGTCAGGGCGGGGTGGTGAAACGCGGCATTCACCCCTCCCCTCACTCACCCCTCCCCTCACCCTTGTCTTCACTCACTCTCTCGCTGACCCTCCAACCCCTCGAGGTGCCCCCCCCCCCCACCCGCGCGTTCGCAGATCTCCATGACGTAATGTTCGCCCACAGACCCCGGCCCTCCCTAAGGCCACTCGATCTGGGCGATAGACAACCGCGGAAGTGCATCGTCCCCTCACCACCAGCAGCAGCAGTAGCCTCGGTGTCACTAGAAATCCGAGGAAGTTCCTCCCGCTGCTTCTTTACACGCAACCCCGACCGATACGAACATCCTTGGGACCTCGCTTGCCACAAGTACGTGTGGTTGATGCAGACATGATTCCTTGCCAAAAGGTGTTTTAACATCTTAACACAAAAATGGCAAAACCTTTTCTTCTACCACCATCCTTCGTATCACTCCACCAGCAAGACTAAAAACATTCTGTGCCTGTCATCAAGAGCAGCAGCAGCAGCCATGATCAATCCACTGCTAGACGAAGGCCTTGGGTCTATCATTGGCTATTGATGGATGATAGATTCTATTTATCACAGAATACATACGCAAACGATATCTGCTACCCAAATAACAAAAAGGTTGTTTTACACATCCCAGCAGCCACCACAGTCTTTCAAAAGTCAGTTCCAAAGATTCATCTTCTTGGTTCTTTCGGTGAAGTCACGTAGAAAGGAAGTAATAAAATAATAAAAATAAAACATAATAAAATAATTCTCACGACGTTTCGGCCACAACGCAAGCAGCCGTCCTCAGGTGTAAACCAGGTCCGTCGAGGCGACAGAGTCTGAATGAAACAGCACACGTGCTTGGAGCATATATATATAAGCTGGACGCCTAGACAAATGAATTTGCATATCAAGAGGAATTTAGCATATTTATGGGAAATGCAGGAATGTGATTAGTACTACATATACTACATATACAGTTCCAAAGAGTTCAGATTAGCAAAAAGTGCATCGCTCCAGTGGCTTCCTAGTATCGGATGGAAGAGCGTTCCAGACGGCCGCAGAAGCGCGTCTGAAAGCGCCGCGCGATGCACCGACTGTCCACGTGGGACGGCGAGAAAGGCGCTCGCGTGATGGTGGTTTATGCCCCTTGACGAGACCAGTCAAGGTATATTCATCCAGTACACCTTGTGTTGACGAATATTTTCAGTTTATTTTTTATCAACACAGGTGTGTTTATATGTAACTATACCTGTGTTTGTGTGTGTGTATCCGCATGTTTTTCTTCTGTGCAGTGCGCGCAAAGACAAGGCGGCCGGGCGTGGTTCTCGACCCCCCCCCCCCCTTCGCTTGATAGGGGCGTTCACGTGGCCCAGCGCGTCATTCAGGTTCGAATCCGGAAGGACGCCCTGATTAATACTGCAGGTGTTTAAACCGTAAAGTACGAACGCAGCTTCCCGCCGTCTGATTCACAATGGACGTTAAGATCCTGTGACGCCGTTCGAAGAAGAGTAGGCCATTGTGTCCACATTTACAAAAAAATAAAAGATTCCACGTATGAATGTTGAACTTATTTCGCACCGTACCGTGTTCATTGGAAGTGCAGGGGAAATACAATCAACTAAGCACAAAAAAGCACTATATAGGAAGCCACTGCATAGCTTCAGTGGCTTCCTAATATCGGAAGGAAGCACGTTCCAGACGGCCGCAGACGCACATCTGAAAGCGTGCGATGTGGTGGCCGTCTTCATTTGATGGTTAGCCAAAAGCCACATGCTGCTCCGATGATGACTTCGGAGTACTTTGAAAGAGGTGATGCGAAAATCTCAGGGACCTCGTTTGAGTATTAAAGATATCAACCGCATACCAGACAATGAATGAAACTTCACATTTGTAAACAATGTTTTTTTTTAATAGTACAAACACCGTTCAAAAAGCACTCGATGTTCACACTAACTACAAGAAAAAAATAATTTATTCAAGCATTGGTCACGAGAATAATTCATCGATTGTTAATGTTCGATGCAAATGCTATGCACAGACCGCAATTAATGACGTTGATATGCGCACTGCGCCTAAGAACCTGATGAAGATGAGTTCGACTCCCCACGGTGGCTAATATCAGTGGGCGAGCGATTTAACATCTGAAATGATCCCGGGACACCTTCACCTTCCTTCACCAACTTGCGATGAACCGGCGCGGTGAAGTATGGTCAAACAAACAGACCACGTGGGGGCGGGCAGGGCGGGGAGGTTTCATCCAGCAGTGAATTTTTAAAATGTCTGCACGTTCCAATAATTTAGCTCCGTCTTGAAGAAAGAGAGGTGTCATTGGCCAATGAATATTCGCATTAAATTTTGTTGTTTTGTTATTAATGAGGAAATTACCCAACGGTACATTATCTTACACATATATCTGCATTTACAGCGAATTATTATTAAATTGTAAATGAGATGACATCTGATTAAATAGCTGGCGCTCTAACGCACGCTAGCGTCGTGACTCTTGGGTCTTGCGCTGACAATGAGCTCCCACGAGAGTCTACGTGGTCTCAGAGATGAGGCTCACGGTGTCTCTCTCCGTATGTATCTCCCTGTCTATCTCCGAGTCGATCTCCCTCGCGAGGGTCTCCGCCTCCCGTAGCGAGGCTCCGAAGTCCGACGCCTCTTCGTGGCTCCGCACCTCCTCCTCATCCTCCTCCTCATCCCCCGCATCCTCCACCTCCTTCCCCTCCGTCGACTCTGCCCGGCAGAGAGGACAGTGGGGGGCCGTCTCCATAGAGCCCCCCAACACCTCCTCGTAGCGGGGGGGCTTGCCGGGGCTGGCGGGGTGACGAGGTGGGGGGAGGGGGGGAGTGAGTCATTGTTACCACCATCATTGTCGTCATGTTTTGATCAATTCAACATCATAATCATAGTTTAACACGGAGTAGGCTTTCGCGAACAATGTCATCCGTAATATAGGGGTTTTTTAAGGGTAAGATCGCGTAAATATATAAATGTTGTGTCGTTAAAACCCGCCACCACCCGACACAGCCAACTAGTAAGGGTTTTCACGTAAACAGAACGTGGCCAATTCGTCACTAGTACAGCACTAGTGTGTAGTGTATAGTGTAGTGTATAGTAGTGTAGTGTATAATGTAGTGTATAGAGTAGTGTATAGTAGTGTAGTGTATAATGTAGTGTATAGTAGTGTAGTGTATAATGTAGTGTATAATGTAGTAGTATAGTAGTGTAGTGTATAATGTAGTGTATAATGTAGTGTATAGTAGTGAAGTGTATAATGCAGTGTATAGTGTAGTGTATAGTAGTGTAGTGTATAATGTAGTGTATAGTGTAGTGTAGTGTATAATGTAGTGTATAGTAGTGTAGTGTATAATGTAGTGTATAGTGTAGTGTATAGTAGTGTAGTGTATAATGTAGTGTATAGTGTAGTGTATAATGTAGTGTATAGTAGTGTAGTGTATAATGTAGTGTATAATGTAGTGTATAGTAATGTAGTGTATAGTGTAGTATACTAGTACAGCACACCGGTGTGTTGTAGAGCCAAGCCACAACATTTACAATCTGAGTGCGACGTTTCGCCAGTAATTACAACTACCTTCATCAGGTTAATTACAACGTGTGTCACAAGACAACAAAATATATAATCGGTGACGTTTCGGACAATGGCCTTTCTTCATAAACCATGCATGTGCCACGAAGACGGGACATTGCCTGAAACGTCGTCTATTATAGATGCTTGCCGTGAGGGGTGCACACGGTGATATTCACGAATGTGCTTTCCCATACGGCAGCTACAGATTTTAATAAATACATTTCATTGTTTCCACGGCTCATGACTAGGGTTGCCAAATCTGACTTAAAGCATTCGGGTAGATTTTGTATTATATTATTCATCTCAAAACATTTGTTTAAAACATATCCCCTTACCGCATTGACATCTCGCACACTGCTTCCTTCAACAGGAGATGAATGCCATTTCCGATCAGAGCCGTCCCTAACGGTGCACGGCAAATAGGGGCGACTGCCCCGGGCCCCGCGCTTTGGGGGGGGGGGGGTCTCGAGTTTTTTAGGGTGTCCGATGTAATACTTACGCATTAGTTTTACGGGGACGCATAGGATGGGATTTGCCCCGGCCCCTGTACCCTGTCACCCCCCCCCCCCCCCCCACCCCACCACGATTTGGACGGCCCTAATTCCTGTATAGAAGACTCCCGACCAATCCAGGACGGGTTGGCAACTCTACCCATGCCTTACCTGGCCGGGTCAGGCTGAGCATCGCCGCTGTGCACCTGGACCGAGCATCCGGTCACCTCCTCCTCCCCCACCTCCTCCTCCTCCTCCTCCTCCACCACCTCCTCCACCTCGCCCCGGGCCCCCTTGCCACTGGAGGCCGCAGTGGGGGGCCCGCGGGGGGCAGGTGGAGGGGTTCCGATGGGCAGGTTGGGGGGGGTGCTCCAGGATGAGGAGCAGAAGGTGGACGAGGTCTGCCCCCTGTCGTTCGCCGACCCCTCCAGAGATGCAAGGGGCAACGTGCGAGGCCTGGGAGGAAGGGAAGAAGAGATTGTGTAGGGTTTCATGGGATTTCATAGGAATTTATGAGATTGTATAGGATTTTAGAGGCATTTATGAGATTGTACAGGATTTGATGGGATTTCATAGGAATTTATGAGATTGTATAGGATTTTAGAGACATTTATGAGATTGTATAGGATTTCATGGGATTTTATAGGAATTTATGAGATTGTATAGGATTTTAGAGACATTTATGAGATTGTATAGGATTTAATTGGATTTCATAGGAATTTATGAGATTGTATAGGATTTTAGAGACATTTATGAGATTGTGTAGGATCTCTTTGGATTTAATAGGAATGTATGAGATTGTGAAGGATTTCATGGGATTTAATAGAAATTTATGATAATATATAGGATTTTATAGGATTTTAGAAGCATTTATGGGATTTTTGAGAATGTTACAGGGCTGCAGAGGTAAAGGTGCAGCCCTGCAATTGCTCGGCTCGCACCGCAGCCGGTGGAAGGGCCCTCGGCTAGAAAGCTTTGCAATCGCATCAACAGATGATTTAGAACCAAATAATGAGCGACGGACGTGGCTGCGTTTGCGAAATAATTGCCGAAACAGCGTTCCGGACTGCTTCGGCTGACATTGTGTCTTGTCTATCATTCTTGTCCTACGCCAGCGTTCTTCACGAACTGCCAGCGGACAGGAGCTCGATAGCCGATAAGACATCATCGGTGTGTGAGAGCCGCCACACATTTGAAACCATAGGGGGTTTGACAGCAGCACGATGATGATGGTGGTGGGGAGTGTTTTCGCTCTTGTGTATTCTCGGGGCCGCACGTTAGGGGTCGCACTAAAGGTCATCAGACGCCGCCAGTGGCCCACGGGCCTTGCAATGAAGAACACTGTTCTACATCATAGAATTTCACGATCATTATAATAACTTCACACTGTAATGTTGCGCTGGCGCCGCATAGCGTTTGCAGAGAGACAGAGAGAGAGACCACGGACTCGAGGAGGAGGAACCGCAGACGAGCGGATGAAGGTGCTACCAACAATTGCCCAAGCTCTGCGGACCCTGCATATATGAAGGTGTTATCGGCCAATTGATGAGTGTTTATACTGGTAGGAACCTCCTGGTTACACCAGCCCACAGGGGATTATTGTGTCCGTCGTGCAGGGAGGGGCTGGGTCGGGTGGGGCTGGGTAGGAAGGGGAGGGTGGGTAGGGGCTGGGTGGGAGGGTGGGGAGGGGCTGGGTGGGGGGTGGGAGGGGTGGGGCTGGGTGGGGAGGGGCTGGTCACCCCGTGGTGCCCTTATACAACTCAACGTTTAACCTACTCACGCCGGCTTGTGCCCGCCCTCACAGTCGGGCATATTTGCGGAATACACCACGCCGCCGTTGATCCTGGCCATTGGCCGAGCAACCCAACGTTCCTACCAGCTCCCTCCGCAAGGAATGTGTTTATACACGTGGATGGAAACCGAAGCACCCCGAAAAAATACCCCACGCGTGCGAGGGGGCAACACTCGATCCCACACAACAAAGACGGGTGGAGATGAGTCCACACTTCGCTGTACCGCCTTCTCCCGGCGAGCCAGGGGTACGGCTCCTCCTCGACGGGAAGAGAGAGTTCTAGAACACCAGTGCGGTGATCCACCCCAACCCTGGCTGCTGCCTGCAGAGTGCAGCCGTAGCCAACGCCGCCAACCACCCGGCGAATCGTCACGACCACCACCACCACCGTCATCACAGAGGCAGTCGTGTCCCACTGCAAACTGATATTGCTACTCACTTTGTCCCGGGGTCGAGCAGAAACGGCAGCGAATCGGATTCATGAATAGGGCTGAAGACCATCTGCCACACACCAAAGACAAAGACACAGATTCCCCCGTGTAGCCTTAACAGGGTGTTGGGTCAAGTGCTGTTAGCGAGCAGCACCTATGAAGGCCGGCACGGCACACGAGGAGGTGGGTGGACAGGACCACGCCCGGCCGCCTTTGTCTCCCGAGTGGCGATGTTTACACATCGCACCAAGGTACTCACACACTCACACACACTCACCCATACTAACCACGAACATACACACACTCACAACTCACACACACCCACACCGCTCACACACTCACCCATACCACTCACACACACTCACCCATACTCACCACTCACACACCCTCACCCATACTCACCACTCTCACACTCACCACTGACCACTCACACACACTAACCACTATCACACTCACACATCACTCACCCATACTCACCACTCACACACCACTCACCCATACTCACCACTCACACACACTCACACATACTCACCACTAACACACTCACACACACTCACCACTAACCCATACTCACCACTCACACACCACTCCCCCATACTCACGACTCACACACACTCACACACCACTCACACACACCCACACCGCTCACACACTCACACACACTCACCCATACTCTCCACTCTCACAATCACCCATACTCACCACTCACACACCACTCACACATACTCACGACTCACACACACTCACACACCACTCACACACACCCACACCGCTCACACACTCACCCATACTCACCACCCACACATCCATACTCACCACCCTCACACTCACACACACTCACCCATACTCACCACTCACACACACTCACCCATACTCACCACTCACACACCCTCACCCATACTCACCACTAACACACTCACACACACTCGCCACTCACCCATACTCCCTACTCACACACCACTCACCCATACTCACCACTCACACACACTCACACACCACTCACACACACCCACACCGCTCACACACTCACACACACTCACCCATACTCACCACTAACACACTCACACACACTCACCACTCACACACACCCTCACCGCTCACGCACTCACCCATACCCACCACTCACACACACTCACACGCACTCACCCATACTCACCACACTCACCCATACACACACTCACCATTCACACACACCCACACCGCTCACACACTCACCCATACCCACAACTCTCACCACTCACACACACTCACCCATACTCACCACTCTCACACTCATAAAACACTCACCCATACCCACCACTCACACACTCACACACACTCACCCATACTCACCACTCACACACTCACACACCACTCACACACACCCACACCGCTCACACACTCACCCATACCCACAACTCTCACCACTCACACACACTCACCCATACTTACCACTCTCACACTCACCCATACTCACCACCCACACACCCATACTCACCACACTCACACACACTCACCCATACTCAGCACTCACACACTCACACACACTCACCCATACTCACCCATACTCACCACTCACACACTCACACACACTCACCCATACTCACCACTCACACACACACTCACCACTCATACACACTCACCCATACTCACCACTTTCACGCTCTCACCACTCACACACTCACCACTCAAACACCCACACCACCCACACACACTCACCACTCACCCATCCCCACCACTCTCACCACTCACACACCCACACCACCCACACCACTCACCCCTAACCCCACGTCTCTCGCCCCACGCTCCCCTCCCCATGTCCCACCTTGGGGTAGCACTGGCAGAGGCTCCACGCGACTCCGGCCGCCGTCATCAGCGCCCCCAGGGCGCAGAAGGTGCCGTACACGTGCGGCCACTCGCCGCCCGACAGCAGCGCCCCCAGGGCCGCGAGGAAGAGGCCCGCAGACACGAGGCCGTAGCGGAGCGTGGCCTCCCTCACGGGCCCTTGAGCGGCGTTATTCACCACCACCATCACCATCCTGACAACTTCCTCCCTCCGCCTACTCCTCCTCCTCCTCGCCAGCAGGACGATGCCCTCACCGCCAGACGCAACACCCTTGCCAGCGGAGCAATCAGGTTGTCCTCGACAGGTTGTCCTCTCGAGTGACTGAGAAGTCTCCCCACCTTGTCCCCACCTTGTCCCACCTTGTCCCACCTTGTCCCCACCTTGTCAACAACTTTTCACGACCTTGTGCCCACCTTGTCCCACTTTGTCCCCCCACCTTGTCCCACCTTGTCCCCACCTTGTCCCACCTTGTCCCCACCTTGTCCCACCTTGTCCCACCTTGTTCCCACTTTGTGCCCACCTTGTCCCACCTTGTCCACCGTTCAGACTGTCCCACGAGATTTTTGTCTCGAGACGCGAGCCCTTTTCTCCCCCCCCCCTCTCTACCAAGCTTGTCCTCTGACTCTGTGTCTATTCTGTCTCACTCCTGTCCTTTCCCTGTCTCTTGCCTCTGTTTCTGTTCTGTCTATCCGGGTCTCTCTCTGTGTCTTTCTTGGACCCTTTGACCTTCTGTGTCTCTCTGTGTTGCTGCGTCTGTCTCTCCTGGTGTCTGTGTCTCTCTGTGTCTGTGTCTTCCTTACTCTCACTCTCCTTGTGTCTCTCTGTCTCTCTCTCCCCTGGTACCTGTGTCTTCCTTAATCTAACTCTCCTTGTGTCTTTCTCTCTCTCGCTTTCTCGCTTCCCTGGTGGCTCGTGTGAGCCTCTCTCCAACCCTGCCCCGTCGTGGACCTCGACTGTGTGTGAGTTGTGTGTGGGGCGGTGCGAGCTGTGATGTGAGTTGTGTGTGGGGCGGTGTGAGTTGTGATGTGAGTAGCGTGTGGGGCGGTGTGTGCGAGATGTAAGCGGTGGCTGCGTGCCCACCTCTCTCTATTTAGCCGACAAATGGTTACAACATTTGGTTTTAATAATCATTAAACGACCTTCAAAGTCTGCTCGCCGCCGCAAGCCAACACCGACCATAATCCCCGCCCAGACGACCCGATCGCAAGACGCTTCGAAAAGTTAGAGGCGCGTTGTCTCGGGTGTCAAGTAACAACGATACAAAGCTGTAGCGACTTAAGACGAAGATTAGACTCCAGCATAACCTCTCACACGGCGGTTCTCAGCCCGGGGGTTACTCGGACCCCTGGGGGGTTGACGTGGCAATGTCCCATGGGGGGTTCGTGATGCGATGTAAACACACACACACACACAGGGCGCTTCAAAAAAATGTGAACACTTCTGAGAATTTGCAACAATACCGAAAAAAAGACCTACCTGGAGAAGACTCCAGGCACGCGTTGACAACGATGGTGACAAAGTGGGAGACTAAATTTCGATTTAAAGCTTTCGTGACTGCAGGGATTCATCTTCTTGGTTCTTTCGGTAAAGTCACGTAGAAGGGAAGTAATACAATAATAAAATAATAAAACATAATAAAATAATTCTCACGACGTTTCGGCCACAACGCAAGCAGCCGTCCTCATGTTATTATTTTATTACTTCCCTTCTACGTGACTTTACCGAAAGAACCAAGAAGAAGTGCGAGACTGTTTAACTTTTTTAAAGCCATGAACATTACATTTGTTATCGTGTTACAGTGTAGTATTCGTTCTTTTCCCATTAAAAGCGACAGTCCTCTATAAGCGTTCACATTGTTTTTGAAGCTCCCTGTATCGATCAGAAACACGAGAGTCACCGATGAATAATCGCGCACGAATCCGTCCGTGAAAAAATAACTGCGACGACATTTAAACCCATGCGGTAACCCAGAACTATGTATAAGAGACCTTTACAAACCCACCGATCGTAAACAATGCGGGTTTTCCAAGAGCAACACTCACCACGCGACATCAGAGCGCTCAGTTGAAATTATTTTTGGGTCGCTTGAAGTTACCAGCGGCGAGTTAGAATCACCCCACAAAATGAACAATTTGGTTTTTAAAAAAATCGATGTTCATTATTCGTAGATGTATTTGAGAAGCGAATTGGGACCATGTTGGGTCAGGCAAGCGGGGGTAGGGGGGGGGTTACTCGATTGAAACTTTTATTCAAAAATTATGGGTCACAGTGGCCAACACAAGGTTGATAACCCACTGCTCTTACAGACCGTTGGGTCAAGTGCTGTTAGCCAACACCACGCCCGGCCGCCTTTGTCTCCCCAGTGGCGATATTTACACATCGCACCAGGTACTAAATTTGAGGCTGGATCGACCTAGGGGCGTCCCAGGACCGGTTCAGATAATCGTCACTGGTGTTGACCGTGAGCGGGGGACTGCGCGTGACACACACAGACAAGCACTCGCAAAGCCGGATTATAAGACGCACCGCCCCCCCCCGCCCCCCCACAACGTTTGCTTTAACACACATGATGCAGGGGGGTTGGGGGCGTCTTCCACCCCCGCCTATTGCGGTAACGTTGTCTCCACCTCCCACGCGTCTCACTTCCCCTCCGCATCGCCCACATCCACCACAACCATCGTCAATATTCGCCACCACAATCAATAATCAACGAGCTCACTAAGGGGCCCGTCCATAAATGACGTCACGCACCTAGGGAGGGGGGGGGTCAGACATTTATGACGATGTGTGACGATGGGGGGGGGGGGTGAGAAATGTGACGTCACATCAAAATGCGCAACTTTAAATACATATAGACAACACGTTCTACTTAATTAAATAGACGTTTTAATAAATGTGTTCTCCTACAACAGGGGTCGGCAACCTACGGCTCCGGAGCCGCATGCGGCTCTTTACGGGCTGCTTCTTGACGATATGTACGTATGTACAAAATGTACTCAGATGCATTGCGGCTCTTGAAATACTGAATTTTGTACCGAATTGGAAAGAAATGGCTCTTCTTGTTATTTTGGTTGCCGACCCCTGTCCTACAACATCAGAGTGCAGCGCCACATTAAATACGCACTACAATGACAATAGTTTAAAGCGATTTGAAGCATGTTTTATTATTTTTGGGGGAGGGGGGGGGCAGAGCTTTGTGACGTCATATTTGAGGGGGGGTTTGACTTTTTGTGACGTTGTGTGACGAAGGGGGGGGGGGTCAAAAATCGTCCAAAATCGCGTGACGTACGATTACTTGGTTCCATCAAACCCCATGTGTGTATTAACACGACGTGAAAATGTTACGATTGAGAACCAAATGGGAGCAAGACTGCAGTAAAGGTGAATATAACCTCTGCTCTCAACGCGTGATGTTCATTCTAAATGTGGAGGGGAAAACCGGAGGACCCGGACACAAATACAGCAGCAGGCGTCAGGGTCTGGATCGAACCCACGACCTCCTGTGCACCAGGTGAGGTAGTTAACATCTCAAAGTCACCGTGATGATGATGAGAGAAACACGCAAACTGCAAATATACAGCAGCAAGTGCCAGGGTCTGGATCGAACCCACACCCTCCTGTAGACCAGGCGAGGTAGTTAACATCTCATAGCCACCGTGATGATGATGAGAGAGAGAGAGACACGCAAACTTCAAATATACAGCAGCAGGTGCCAGGGTCGGGATCGAACCCACGCCCTCCTGTAGACCAGGCAAGGTAGTTAACATCTCCTAGCCACCGTGATGATGATGAGAGAGAGAGAGAGAGACACGCAAACTCCAAATATACAGCAGCAGGCGTCAGGGTCTGGATCGAACCCACGCCCCTCCTGTAGACCAGGCGGGTAATTAACATCTCATAGCCACCGTGATGATGATGAGAGAAAGAGAGAGACACGCAAACTCCAAATATACAGCAGCAGGCGTCAGGGTCTGGATCGAACCCACGCCCTCCTGTAGACCAGGCGAGGTAGTTAACATCTCGTAGCCACCGTGATGATGATGAGAGAGAGAGAGAGACACGCAAACTCCAAATATACAGCAGCAGGCGTCAGGGTCTGGATCGAACCCACGCCCTCCTGTAGACCAGGCGAGGTAGTTAACATCTCATAGCCACCGTGATGATGATGAGAGAAAGAGAGACACGAAAACTCCAAATATACAGCAGCAGGCGTCAGGGTCTGGATCGAACCCACGCCCTCCTGTAGACCAGGCGAGGTAGTTAACATCTCATAGCCACCGTGATGATGATGAGAGAGAGAGAGAGAGACACGCAAACTCCAAATATACAGCAGCAGGCGTCAGGGTCTGGATCGAACCCACGCCCTCCTGTAGACCAGGCGAGGTAGTTAACATCTCATAGCCACCGTGATGATGATGAGAGAGAGAGAGACACGCAAACTTCAAATATACAGCAGCAGGTGCCAGGGTCTGGATCGAACCCACGCCCTCCTGTAGACCAGGCGAGGTAGTCAACATCTCGTAGCCACTGCGGCTTCGGAGTCATCCGGCATTCCTCGACTTGAATCCCTTCGCGAAATTGCAGTACCGCATCTCCGATGTGCACGGTTGGCTACGTACGGTGCGAAAGAAGTTCAACATACGTACATATATTCTTGATGACGCATTGAGTGTTTTTTTTTGTTAACTGTGCTTGTGACGTGGCCATGTGTGCATATAGAACTTCTTTCGCATCGTACGCAGCCAACCGCGCTAATCAGAGGTGCACGGCGAAGGACAACAAACTGAACACTAAACGCAGTTCTGAAGAAATGTAATTTTCAATCTGGATGATGATGATGATGATGATTTAAAAGTGCACAGCTCCCAGCGGCTTCCCAATATCGGAAGGGAAGAGCGTTCCAGACGGCCGCAGAAGCAGCGCATCTTGTTCGACGGTTAGCTAAAGAAACAGTGGTGACAACACGACTGTTAACGCAACATCATCGTCGTGATCATCATCGTCATCATCAGCAGCAGCAGCATCACCGATTCATGCAAAACATGACAATCAGTGACGTCCAGCAACGGCGTTATTGTGATCGCGGAGTGTGCCGATCAAACGGCGTTGTCGAGATGAGTTGTCTACTCAGGTGGGTCGGCAGGTGTCAAGGTGTGCGCAAGCAGCTGAGAGAGCCGTCGAGTTAATGAACATCCACGCGGAGGGTGTTCGTAACGGGAGAGGGAGGATGGGAGGGGTGGCCGATTGGAGTTTCGGTCTCGACTGGCCCGCACCGGTCTCGCTGTTGAGCTCTCACGCGGGTGAGCTGGAGGTCGAGCGGTTTGACTTTGGCAAACAGAAATTAACAGGAACGCGGAAATGTTTGTTTTCACTCTCCCTCTGTCTGTCTCTCTCACCTATTCTGGGTT